AATAGCAAATCCTTTGGAAATAAGTATGGAGTAATTTAGATTAAACCTTTTGTTTCAGACATGCACGAATGATAAATAATTCTTATTGAATCTAAATGAACAACTTTATCGAACTTTTATATTTTTGGGCTCTCAATAGTGTTCAAGGACTCATAAACCAAACCGTCAATGGAATCTTCTCATCGTCACCAAGTTTGGATCTTCAAATCAGATCTCAATCCTGCATTCAACGCCAAAATACTTCCACTATTTATTTTGGAACGTACTGATAAAGAATCTAGTTATAGATATCTCGTTAGCAAGCATGCTGCAGATGTATATTTGCACATTATGGATAATTGATGGATTCAACTTATTGAAACATTTTTGTTTCACGAAGAATAATGTATTGATTCAATGTTCCCGAGAGACAATTAAAACAGCTAATGGAGACCTCCAAGTAAGTAAGGAAGGTGAGATGGATAGTCTGTAAAAATAAAGGTCCATGTTGCGTTAGATGAAGGGAGTTGATGAATAGTCAAATGAGCTGTAATCAAAACTGAAAAAAGTACTGCGCCTATAACATGTTGTTATGGAGTTCTAAGCAAGTATTTCAAGGAAAGTGAGATGGATAGTGTGTAAAAACTTAAGTTCCATATTATGTTAAATGAACAGAGCTATTGAATAGTCAAATGAACGGCAAAACAAAATTGGAGAGATGTACTGGCAGTACTGCTCTATTATGTAGAAAGATTAAACTTGCAATAATGAACTCAAAGGCAATGTTTTACTTATTTTTAACGAATTTTGTGTTAACATCTGAGGTAATGAGCCTAAGAATAATGTTGTTACTAAAGTTTCCCATATAAAAGCTCCCGTTTTTACTCTAATCAAATGAAAATCAGCTTCATCTCTTTCATTTGTGATGCAATATCATAAATGAGGGAAGATGAACATTCGAAGATGAAAAATTACAGGTGATAAGATATGTTAGATCTGGAATCCTTCTAATCGCTTGGATGTGCTGCAACGTACACTTAGGCGGGAAAATGCCTACTCCACAAAGTAGTGCAATTATGCAGGAGAATTTGTTTTTAAAATGTTTCTATAGTTTTTTTTTAAGTAGTAGTAAACTTAACATTCTTCTAAAATAAAGTACTTTATTTTAAGCCTCTACAAACTAAAAAATTGATAACACAATACTGAAATCCAAAGTAGTCAATCATCAGGAAAACTTAAATATGGAGCTAATAATAAAAATGATAACACAATACTGAAATCCAAATAAAATTTGATAAAATGCTGGTTAAATGTCATGTTGGTTAAAAGTCTCTACCCAGCTAATATATTTAACTCACCAATAGCGCCAGTAGTTAAGGATGCATGTTCCTCCCTGAACATCACAGTGTGACCAATAGCAAGTTCTGCATTTAAATTACAATAAATCCTCAAAAATTGTCATACTGAAAATCTCAGAAGTAACTATATAAATAATAACTATATAAAAGAGAATGGAAAGAAGTGTCTGTGTAGAAAGAGGTGTGAACCTTGATTCTGATGGGCAATGAGTAAATATAAAACTAATTGTGATTGGATAAATAGGCAAGGATTTAAGTGCATATTTGAAATGAATTCTGTTATAGAAATCAAAACAGGTCTTAATTTTTCAAAACATTATAGAAGTAAAACATATTAGAGTAAGACTTAAAAGGTGAGATTGCTCAAGGATTAAGATTGAATCGAATGACTGACTTGGAAATGCCACGAGTTCATTTAAGGTTCCTGATATTTGTGCTGCTACCTCTCATTCATCAGCATAATGTCCGTACATAATAAAGACTACATAAATTTCCCCTCCATTGCCTTGTTCTTCTGCTAAAGCTCTTCACACAGTGACAATGTGACCCAAAGCGCCATCTATGAATTCCTGTATATAATTCAAAACAGAACTTACTTTTTCAAACATAATGAACGTAAAACATATTACATATTAGAGTATGAAATCAAAAAGCGAGATTGCTCAAGGATTAAGAATGATTTGAATGAGTGACATGCAAATAACATGGGTACATTTGAGGTTTCTGATGAAGAAATGTCAACTAAATGAAATCTGAAGCCTTCTGACAAAGAAGAGAGGAGCTATGCCGATCGAAAACCGTTTCTAACAACAATAAAGGCTATACGATCGAGAAAAGATTAAGAAAAAAAACTAAACAATACTACTTTGAAAAAAAAAATCACATGTAAACTGGGAAATCAGGCAGATAGTTTCCATCAGTAGTAATTGATGTTTGAAATGTAGCCTCCTAATGCCTTATAGTAAATTTTTAAAAAGACGTGAACACCAAGGTTTTACTTGCAAGGAAAAAACAACAACAATGATAGTATACTATTAATAGTGTATTATAATAGTGAAAAAAAATTTAGTATTTACCTTGGAAAATAAAACGAAATTCTTAATTTTAGTCAATGTTATAAAAAAATTCTGATTTATCGGTCCTTACATTAAAAAATATTAAATTAAAATGAGCGAACATATATCTAAAGTTCATGTATTGAATTCCAAAAGGATACTAATTGATCTAAGCAGCTATTCATCTCCCTTTCTTTTGCTTCTTAATTTCATCTACATTTTCCTTAATTTCTTCTCCTAGCATTTGAGTTCCAAAAGGATGCTAAAAATATTGAAATGAAATGTTGCAGAGGGCTTTATTCTTATGGGAAAATGAGCATATAGTAAAACTGATTGAACTGTAAGGAAAGGACATGCTACTTGTCATCTTTCAAGCATTAGAGAGAAATATGAAGTCTCACTGGAAGCAAGCAGTCCATGGGCTGACCTCCAATGTCCAGAAGAGGTTCCTGGAAATGGATGGCACGCTTTTTAAGGAGTGTCAACGTTTACAAATTAAAATGTTCTAGACCTATATATGATAATTGATATAAACAAATCGAGTACCAAGATCAGTTTTGTTGATATATGATATGTCCATCAAAACCAAACTAAAATGTTGATATGCCCATCAAAACCAAGTCTAAACACAATGATCACCATATCAAGTATATAATGCCTCAAGGTTATCATATGCATAAGGCTATAACATTGGTTGACAATCTGACATATTATCATTTTAATTCGTTTTTTTAAACATGATCAAAGTTTGATTAGAATAGATTCAATAGAGCAATGTTGGAATCGTACTACTTAAAATCCTTAATAAATCATATACTATTTTATATAAACTGAAAAGAGTAAGTTAGTTTTAACTTCACCACTTTACTGGCTTAAAATGAATAGAAACAGATCAAACACGTATTTAAGACACAAAAACTGAAATGTACTTCCCAAAATCCAGCTATGGTGATTCATTATGATCTTTTAAAAGCATATAAAATAGTTCTGAGCCATGTATAACAACAAAAAATATGAAATGCAAGAAGAGGAACCACGTTAAGTCACTTTTCTATATGCAGCAAAGAACCATTTTAATTTCCTATTTTTTAATTGAGACAACAGCAAGAAGAAATGCAGAAGAGCAAAGAACCTAAACTCTTCTTCTTAGTCCCTAAGCAATTACTCAGCAAAAAAGTTAACATAACACACCTTAAAAAGTTGACGACTAAGACTATTTGAAGCTTTGGATAGAAAATCAAACTTCAGATCTGCTAAACTCAGAGAATTGAGATTAATAAATTCAAAGATAACTAAAATGGGAATCAAATCCTGATTTTTAAAACTGAAATGGTGAAGTTGATTCCGTGTTTTTCAGCTCGGATGGATTCTGATGAGAGAAAGTCAAAAGAACTTTTCAGCATGAAAATTTGATAAGAGATTCGGATGGGAAAGTCAAAAGAACTTTTGAGCATGACAATTTGATAAGAACTTTATGACTGAAACTTATTTAAACTAAGTAACTAACTTTCTCTATAATTTCTATATAGAGCCCAATGAAGGGGTAGCACCCATATATGATTATGAATTTGCATCTCGCACTATCAAAATTTTCCAATCTATAATCTTAGAGAATCTACCGTTCTTGAAATCATTATTCAATAATGCTTTTAGCTAAAAGTGAATGAAATTCCTCCAATTAGGCAATAATAGAACCCAAATTTGATGTAAGATATCCCTCTGGTCATGAGTTCATGAAAACCCTAAAATACAATCGAGAATGGAAACAATAGTTGGGGATTGAAATCAGAAAGAGGATGAAAATACCTGCGGTGGAATTTACTCTGTAATCACGATGAAACTTGTAGAAACGGTTCTTGTGAGCGAGAGAGGTGAGGAGTGATTGATGAATTCTAGCAAGGCATGAAGTGAGATTAGAAATGGAGGAATGAATGTATCCGAAGGAGAGAAAGAAGAAAGATGCGGTAAGGATCGGCAAAGAAATGAAACTGAGTGAGGATTAGCGCAGATCTACGAAACGGATCGCACGGCTGAAATGGTTTGGGAGGTCAAGCGGGAAAATGAGGTTAGCAAAAGCAGTGCAATTATGTAGAGTGATTATGTAGAGTGATTTCATTACTACTCTAATAACTAATCATATTTTTGTAAATCGTCTTTATTTTTGTCACATTTATGTAATTATTTCAACATTAAACTGTCACATCATGTGGCCCAAATCAATTACAAAGTTATTATTGCATCAACCAAATAGCTAATTGTGAATAGTGAAATGGGATCAAAAGATAGAAAGAATAGAAGTTGCCCTAAATAAGAGTAAAAATGTTTTGAAATTCCAAAATGAGACTCATGTTTTCTATTCTCTAAATAGAAGTAATCTGCCAAGTTTGGGGGAAAATGTCATGTTTAAAGTCTAGTAATATCAAACTTGGCAGAAATTTACTCTCATTCAGAGAATAAAAAACATGATAGTCTTATTTTGGAATTTCAAAATATTTTTACTTACATTTAAGGAATTCTCTCTAGAAAGAATTCTAAAGTACGTAAGATTGAATATACTTTCTTCCTAAAATAAGACTAACCTAATATTATTAAAAGAATGCAAAAGAAAAACAATTTTAAATAGGACTACACACATCATAATGTTGGAGGTATTGGTCCTACCAAGGCCTCCCTTCCACTTTATTAGTTGAGGCTTGCACACTCTATTTTACTCTCTCTTGGATACCTATTCTTTGGTATATATCCTGATCAAATATATACCTATTTGAGTGGTTTGACTTTCCCACTTGGCTGGCCTCCTTTGTTTGCTGTCCACTGCGCCACTTTTGTCTTGATCTATTCTTGTGACTTTCTTTTGTCTAAGAAGCATGTGAGTGCCTTTTGTATTGACCTCACCCGTGACTTCCTTGGCAGCCTATTTGTAGTCCTTGTTTCTCCCATTGTGAAGCAGCCTGCGTGAGTATCCTTTGTGTGAGAGAGCAGAGCTCACTTCTTCTTCCTCCTTTGTGTGAGTGTAGAGAGGTCTAAGTGGAGAGAAAATAAGTGTGTGCTATAGCCTCCTCCTAAGTGTGGTGTGTGAGAGTGTGTGTTGAAAGACCTGAGCTGGAGACGGATATACGATCCTTACAAGGACTACACACATTATATTCTAAAATAGGGCTGTTATGTTTTTATTCTCAAAATAAGACTAATTACTGCCATGTTTTGGCACTACCAGACTTTAAACATAACAGTATTTTTCAAACTTGGCAGCAATTATTCTTATTTTGAATATAAAAACATAGCAGTCATATTTTGGAATTTTCAAACTGATTTACTCCCATTTCGGGAATTTTCCCATTAAAAAATGAAATGAAAACTCTCTAAAAACAATTAGAGCCTTTATACTGTATATAATTTCTCTACAAAACATTCAAAGTGCATCAAACTCAATTCAAGTGGAATCACCCATACTGAAAATGGTGTGTAATAAAGTAAAGAAACACCGAGAAATCGATGAGATCGGTGGAAAGTGGAGACTGCCACGCGACGAACCGCCGGACTCGTGTCATCGACGTGTCAGCTTCTGAAAGCATATCTCGGTGTTCTCCTCCACGAGACCCTCCACGAGTCTCATCCCCATTCTTACAGGCGTCAGCACCCTGGCCTTTTCCCATGCCTATAAGATGTTCGACGTTTGTCCCCAAAGACAATCCTGCACTAGTAATTCAAACCTGAGTACTTCAATCTGTGTGCTAATAACAAGAAGCTCAATTTTGAGTAAGAAACAGTACTAATCACAATGGCGTCGCAGCAGCAGGACAGAGCTGAACTTGACCGGAGGGCCAGAGAGGGAGAGACTGTGGTTCCGAGCGGGACCGGCGGCAAAAGTCTCGAAGCTCAGGAGCACCTTGCAGAAGGTCTATTTCTTTTTCTACTTCCTTTTTCCTACGGTATTTTGTTAGAGCGGTCTAGTGAATTTTTGTTAGAGCGGTCTAGTGAATTTGGAGGCTCTAGTTTCAAATGTAAAATCGCAACAAAATAGCAATTTGAGTAAAGTAACAGACGAAAAAGTGACATTATTGTATTATTTTTCCTAACCAATTGTATTTACTGCTTAGTATTAGTATTAATATATAATATTACTATATAATCGGGGGCCTGTTCAATCTATTGAACTTTCTAAAAATGGCTCTGTATTGTGAAGTAGTACGTAGTACTATACGCGGTTGTGTGTTTTGTGAAGTAGGATGAAATTGACAGTACTCCCTATAAATCCTGTTTTGGAAATGATGAAACAATTCGGTGTTTTTATTACTTCTAATTAAATTTGTTTTTAAATTTTATTTGTTTGAAGTAACCTGTCTATAAAATGTGAGTGAATAAGCTAAAAAGTCGATGGCATGCATGCAGGAAGACACAAAGGAGGGCAAACACGGAAAGAGCAATTGGGGACAGAAGGGTACAAGGAGATGGGGCGCAAAGGCGGGTTAAGCACCGGAGATGAGTCCGGCGGGGAGCGTGCTACCCGTGATGGCATCGAGATCGATGAGTCTAAGTTTAGGACCCGTGGCGGATCCGACGAGTAGTTGTCCTCTCTAATCCCTCAACCGCCTAATAAATTGCTCTCTTGTTTATAGGTTATGCTAATGTAACCAACAATAACCGATCGATATCAGCTCCATGCTAATCGATCATGTAGGTCTAGCTAGCTAAGCTTAGTGTCTAGTGTTTATGTTATGATTTTGCATGTGTATATGTAAGTCTTGGAATATGAATAGTCTGGAAAATTTCTACTAAACGTGGTACATGTTATTTCTGGAAAATTTCATTTCTTAATTCTTATGGTCCAACACATAAAAAAGAACAAGGGGAGATCCGCTTACAGAACAGGACTATGTGCAGATGCCAGAGTTTTGTCGTCGAAATTTACATAGTGCGCTGAGGGTGGTCCAAGGGATCGAGAAGGGAGGTGGCTCGGCTTATCTAAATTATTACATAGTACTTCCTCCGTTCCTTTCTCTTTTAATTGCAACAGTCAATTAACAATATTTTGAAAAATTTGACCATTAATATCTTTTATTCCTTATTAGTAAAAAAATTAAAAAATTCATATTTTGAAAATTTAGAATGGGAAGAATTTAACAATATTTTTTAAAAATTTAATTTATTATACATCAATGTAGTCAAAGTAGAACATGTTCCTTTCTCTTTTAATTGCAACAGTCAATTAACAATATTTTGAAAATTTTGACCATTAATATCTTTTATTCCTTATTAGTAAAAAAATTAAAAAATTCATATTTTGAAAATTTAGAATGGGAAGAATTTAACAATATTTTTTAAAAATTTAATTTATTATACATCAATTAATAAAATGTAGTCAAAGTAGAACATGTGAATTGAGATTGAGATTGAGATACTGCCTATCATTGAAATTGAGATACTGCCTATCATTGAAATTGAGATACTGCCTATCAGACGTATGAGGTGCTTGAAAGTGGATGTAATTGACCAAATCGTTTGTATTATTTGTTCTTGTTGATTTTTGGGAGAAAATGGATGTGCTTGAAATAGTTTACCCTCAAGTGTCAACCCTAGCCATTTATTAGTATTGGGCTTGGCCCATTTGTATAGGAAAACATTTGTATAGGAAAACATACTTGTATAGTATGTTAAAAACATGCACGGAGTATATGAAATATAACAATACTTGTTCACAAGCAAGAAAGAAAGTCCGCCGTGAACAGTAAGAGCATTATTAAACCATTGATTATACTCGGAATATTTGATTGATTATACTCTGAATATTTGATAAACGTTCGAATACTAACGCGAAAAAGACACTCTAAAAGACGGATCAGTTCACGTAGTGAGGAGACACGGTGTTTAATTTGTTGAAGCCTCTGAATGTTTCCGCAAATTATAAGGTGAGATCGGATATTTGAACGGCCTTTTAATTTCTTCCATCCAGAATTCTATCGCATTTATTCTTTTCTTTTTCTTATTTTTTATTATTCTTTTCTTCAACTCTTTTCTTCTTTTCCATCAAAAATACTAAAAACTTAATTGTAATTTGCTATTTTTGTCTTCAACTTAATTTTTTTTATCGTCAACTAGCTTTTTTTTATCGTCAACTAGCGTTCTTTCATATCATAAATTTCAGGATTATTACATCAGTCAAAGGAAAAACAAAAGTGACACCAACTAAATTCCAACAACTACGACTGTAAGCTCTATAATCAGACTTAGAGACGGTCACCCCTGAAAGACCAACACGAATCGCTAACTATGTAGCAGGCTTGACACAGCCATATCCTTGTTCTCATAGATCCAAACATACTCAATGACATAAAAAGGGCTGAGATCCCAAACAAACTGACAAAACTAACAACATAGACGTTAAATTAACAAGAATCCAAATGACAAAAAAATAATAACTAATAAGAAAACTTTCACGGACTCTATCACTTCGTACAACCCATGGTGGTGGTTCCGGAGGAGACCGTATCCTTGGTACCATTCTAATTGACCATTAATTGTCAATCGTCATCTGACCTGCATGAAAGCCGCACAACTATCCTCGTCCCGCGCTCTTAGCATATCCACCGTCAGCGGTCATCTTCATCGTTGCCATGCCCTTGCTACCCAAATTCATTCTTCCTCCCAAAAAAAGAGAACCAATCGGATCGCCTATTATATGGGATCAAAACGAAAGGAAACGTTGTAGCAGACCAACGTACAACAGCAACCGAGCGCTAATTCTGACGACGTAAGCCAAACAAAAACACACAGATCGAACAAAAGCGGTTGAAACCCACGATCGGAATTGATCGCCGCCGTAGAAAAGCCTCTAGCGGCTAGGAAGCACTAGAGAGAGACGTAGGGTTTTTATTTTGATTTTCGTTATTATTACGAAATAAGAGGCAACGGAGTACTATCGCATTTGTCTTCAACTTAAATTAAAACTCAATCTATTTTTCAATTCATAACAAAAGATTTTTTTTATCATTAACAAAAGATTTATTAATTTAAATAAAATACTTATATTACATTTCATATTCCTTCTATTTTTATTTTTGTAATCTTTTTTATATTCTTACACTTTTCTGTAATATATTTATATATTCACACACTTTTCCTATAATATACTAGTATATTTTATCTCTTCTATTTGTTTTAGTGTTGTTAGGGGAAAAGGTCAAATAGGCTCTCGAACTTACATAAAATTGTCAAATAAGCCCTCGAAGTTTGGTATGAGTAAACTAGACTTAATGAAGCTCAAAAAATTTCACCGGAAACCGCCCCAAGTGATGACGGCCGAATAGAGCCTCCTATATAAGGGGTAATTTGGACATTTTAAGTTAGTTCGAGGGTCTATTTTACCCTTTAGTCTTAAATTTTTAGTCTTCTGATGAAGGAGAAAAGATTGGGAAAAATCAGAAAATTGAAGAAAAAGAAAAGGGTGTTACCTTGCAATGAAGATCAAAAGAGAAAGAACCAATATCAAACTATATTGAGATCGATATACCGTGCGCACGATGTAACGATCTTAGACTATAATTGCATTATTTTCAACCCATCCATCTCGAACCTACATTTTCCATTCGTAGTTCTTCGTTATTAACTTGTAAATACAAATTCGATTTCACTATGCTTGAAGTTCAACCATCTACATTTTTACTCTAATAATTAGGCATGGAGCCGGGTCGGGCCTAGGCCCGATCGGTCCTTTTGTGGTTGGGGCCTGGGGGAAGGCCCGGGACCGGCCCGGGTTGCCACCGGGTCCGGTTCGGGCCGGGCTGGGCCTCGGGCCGGGTTATTTGTTTTTTTTTTTTTTGCTTTCCTAACTACCCCTGACCCCCCCTCACCCCCACCCCCCCCACCCCAAAAAAAATATCAAGCCCAACCCAGGGGAACCCAAAAAAATGAACACGAAAAACCATTTTGGCCCGAACCGGGCCCGGCCGGGCCGGGTCTCCATTTAAGCTACCCGAGCCCGCCCCGCTTTTTCCCTATAACTGGGTCATAGACCGGTTTGGGGCCCGAAGCACTGGGCCGGGCCGGTCCCGCACAGTAGCGGGCTGGGTCGGTTCCCGGGCCGGGTGGCCCTAACCGGGTCCTAGCCTATTCATAATGGGAGCAAAAAATATGTGAAATTTCCAAATAAAAGTGCTAAGTTCTTCTTACGTCAATAAGAAAACTAATGTCATATTTTGTCATTATCGAGATTAATATGGTAATGTTAATGTCATAATTGACATTATATTATTTTTCCCATATAACAGTAATTACTCATATTAATTTCTCAGTCTGTTTATGAAAAATGAATATTTGATTTTTCATTATTACTTTCGAGTTTTTCATAATTAAATAGATTAAACATAATTATATGAACATGCTTAGCTTGTAGAGGGTTGAACTTAATTGCATTGTAGTAAAATCAAATACTCCGTATGTATCTGCAAACTAAAAGCTACTCCGTACATAAGATGGCAAATACAGGTTCATAATATGGGGCGAAAATACATGCTAAATTATGGATAGAAAACACGTGAACTTGCTTGTAAAGGTTTTTAACTTCCATTGTAGTAAATGATCATAAAAAAAAAAACTTCCATTGTAGTAAAGTAAAAAACCATATGGCTCAAACACATGGCTTAAATAGTCCCTCCATAAATATAAATTCAAATTAAACCCGATACAATCGTACACAACAACAAATAAGGCTGATTAACGATTTTTAATTCGTCCTACAACATTATATATAAGAGCATCTTCAATGGTAAAATGTGCACGGTACACATGTAGCATAAGAGATAGCCACATAAATATTAGTAAATT